AGGGACGCGCGATAGACAGAAAGGGGAGGTATACATCGGGTGCGAAAATTGTTCAAACCGCGATCGTCAAAAAGATCGCCAGCGCACATATTCTTATCTACATCCTCGATGTGACTCCCTTATTTAACGACAACGTATATTTGAACATGCTCTTATCGGTGAACTCGAATCGATGTTCGATGGAATCGCTCCCAAGATCTCTGACAATGAAAATACTTTTCGACTTTTATCGAATTTCGAGAACGATTTCAGCTGACATGAGTTTATTTATTTCGCGGGACGATTCTAATTTTAGAAAGTGCGCTACCCCGTTCGTGAAAATATTTTTTCACCGAGCCAAAATTACTCCCGTTCACCGCGACAAAATATTTTCATTGGATACAAATAGATTTACGGAATTTATGACGATCGTTTTAAACGGGGTTGATTTGTCGCTCGATTAAAGCGTCGGCTGTTTGCTCATCTTACAGAACGGACGTAGTAGAGAATACTATGATTATTCTATTCAACGGTATTCACCCCGACCGGATCCGGAGCGAGCTGGTTTTTACGAGCTGCGAGAAAGAAGAATGCTTCTGATCGAAGGACTGAGGTCCGAGACTCGAATCGTAAGAGATCTTTACGAGCGAAAAGAGTTCAAGGGATAAAGGGATAAATATTCTCAGAAGCGAGAAACGCAAAATTTTTAATTCTTGAGCCCCGAGGACTTAAGTGCGAGATTATCTGCTAACGCCTGTGCTAAGTTGTATAAAGGAAAAAGAGAAGATTCTTCATTTCCGCACACTAAAAAAAGAAAAAAAAAAATGGAAAAGAAATTAAAATAATTTCTCGATGCGCGAAGTATCCGCTTTTTAAGCGAACGCGCATTAAATATAACCGGGTTTACTCCACTTCGTAAAGGAAAAACGATGGTTGCATAACCGCTTTGCTACGTGATAAAGAACGCCGTCTGAAGTTCTACCTCTCTTTCATGACTGCTCTGTATATATCACTTTTTATTCACGCGAATATTTATCACAAGAACGGAGATATTACAGTACGAGCATTCATTTGCAGCATTATCGCTCCGCATTCGTTTCTGCGACATATCCTGCCTTTCGTGATTAAACCGGCGTCAAAGAAGACTCAATCTCTCCACACATCTCGATTCTTATATAAAGTTCCCCTCATCCGTTCGATAGATTACTTCGCTAGAATACACGTGATCTATTTTTAATGCAGATCAAAAGTTTCACGGGGTATCAGAAGATACGTTGGATCTGATCCGGAAAGAG